GCATTGACAAAATTATAGGCATAATAATATATGAGAGTGGTGATATAATGGTAAATCTAAGTCAATACATATTCACAATGCTGCCAAAAACAATCGGCCTAATGAGACATATAATAAAATTTATTTGAATTCTGATGAATAGAGTGTGCAGCAGAATTAAATAGGACAAGAACAGTTTTATTTTGTTAAAAACGTAACAAAGAATGCAATATTTATACTCAGAATGATATCAGAAATAGTAAAACAAATTTTTGTAATGTTGTCTGGGGTGGTTATTAAAATAATAACTAGAATGGCAACTTACAAACTATAGAGGTTTATTTTAAACAAGAACACTACAAGTAGATATTTACAAGTTCATCTGAAGCTGGAAAAGCAAGCTGGTATTTACCTGACCACCCCACAAGGCAGGATGTGACACAGGCTTATTTTTATGTGGGGGCAATCTGAGCCCGTAGGCTCAGGCAAAAATTCCTTGTAGACCCTGCACGGGGTCAGGTTTGTCAACCTCTCCAGACGAGACTCTGCACTTTGGCATAGCCTCGTTCAACATCTTGATGCCTGCTGGAAAGCAAGCCCCACTGAGGTCAACACCATAGATGATTATATTACTACTGACACAGTCCATTTAATAGAGGTGTATCAGTTGTTTGTATACTGAGGGTTATCAGTTCATTCTTTACAATACAAATACAAAAGGATGTATACTTGTGTTTTATAGATTATGCAAAAGTGTTTGACAAGGTACATCACAATGAACTGTTTGAATTGCTAGGTAAACTTGGTTTATTTGCAAAGAATATTAGAATAATCCAGATCTTATACTAGGAGCAAACTGCCTGTATATGGACAGAAAATGGAGCAAACTGCCTGTATATGGACAAAAAATTAATTCAGTAAGTATGCAAAAATAGAAAGGGGAGTAACACATGGATGCGCCTTCTCACTAGACTTATTCAACTTTTATAGTGAAGCATTCCTGAGAGAATTAGAAGTTTTATTAGGATTCATTATTGCTGGCCACAATCGTAACAACATTAAATATGCAGATAATACAATGTTGATAGAAGACACAGAAAGGAAGCTACAGGAACTCCTACAGAAGATAGTAAAGGAAAGCAAGGAATAAAGTACTAAACATTAATTGAAAAAAAGAATGTCTCATTGTCAGCAAAAGGGGACAATCCAACATGTGAATTACAAACTGGGGATGCCAAAATCAAGCAAGTACAAAAATTTAAATATCTAGGAAACATTTTGACAGAGGTTAGAAAATGCAACACTAAAATCTGAAGGTACATTGGGATAGAAAAAGTGCCTTCTGAAAGCTAAGCAAAGTATTAAGGAAAAGGAAAATGTTGTTCGAAACAAAGAAAAGCATGCTGAACTATTATGTAATATCAATCCTTCTATGGCAGTGAATACTAGACAATCTCATCACAGACGAAGAAGAGTTTTGAGGCAATGATGAAGGGAATTTTTTTCCCCTCATAGGTAATGGGAGAAGAAAGAACATTTCCTTTTTATTAAACAAGAATATATACAAAACAAACTCAAAAATACCACATGAAATTTAAAAGCAACAAACATTTATTACAAAGCATTTGTAATGAGTCCCAATAAAAATAAAATATAAAAATAAAATATATATAAACAAAAATAAAAATAATTAAAATTAAAATAAGGCATTTGTGCTTTCTTCTAAAACCCTTATCCCTTTCTCTATCTCTCTGAACTTCTCTTTCTATACTTCTCTCAACTAACAAGAAGGTAGCCCTCAAATAAAAAGAAAAGGCAGAACCAGGCTGAAAAATGCTGGAAGTTTGCAGAATCAGAGCCTACTTATTTGTGACTGAAAAATATCAAAAATCAGGGAGGCTCCACACATAACTTCCATTATAAAAAAAATAAAAAAGAGAGGAATGTTGGAAAATAAAATAATTTTAGCCGATCAAAAAAATTGACGCAAAGAGACTTTGATGTTAACCAAAACCAGTGCTCGTACCAGAGTCTTGGAGCCTGTTCAAAAGGATATAAGCTGACACCTCTGAGCTAGAAGTAGAAGGGATGGCAAGAGTGATGAACAGATGCACGACGTGGAAGAACCAGCCATGCATGATGATTGAAGAAGTAGTTAAGAGGTCATCAGCTAAAGATATTTATGCCCTTCTTAGGACCAAGAAAAACACAATAGACTGACATTGACCTATTTCTAATATTACTACTACTCCTATCATTACTATATTATGAGAGTGCCTCTCTGCGCCTGCTTAGTCTCACGCTATCCACTGACCTGAAGTGGAACAACTACATTGAATCTATAACTTCATCTACCTCAAGGAAAGTCAGTTCTCTGTGTTGCGCCAGAAGGTTTTTCACACCTGAGTCCATCCTTCAAATCTATAAATCAACCATTTGTCCTTGCATGGAATACTGCTGCCATATATGGTCTGGTGCTCCAACTGTTTATCTCAAGGTCCTAGACAAAATCCAGAGATGGATATGCAATGCGGTTGGTCCTGATCTGGCATCCTGTCTGCAGTCACTATCTCTGTAAACCCTTGTGTGCTAGTGGCACTCCCACCTTGCTTGGGGCGATTTGCTTAAAAAAACAAAAATGGTCCGACTTCAAAACTACTACCTCCTGACTTTCTCTAATATCATAATATAAAGGGATATATGGTTGCATACATTCAAAAGTAAATGAAGATAGATGGTTTGAAATACTTAGCTTTCTTGGAATATTGAAAGAAAGTTCTTTGAAGTTCTATGTGCTTGGTTAAAGGCCGATAATATAATTGGCAAGTAATTTTCCCCTGCTGAAAACCTCAATGCTTGATGTGGTGAACAACAATGAAACCTTTAACATGACTTCAAGCACTTTTCTCTTATTAATTTAATTTTTCTCATTTTATATCAAAATCAATTTTGCATAGGCTTGCTACTTTCTTTTCTTTCTTCTTGGCTGACTGGCTAATTTCTGTGAAGGCAAGGTTTTCATTAGTTCAAAAATAATTTCACATAGGCTTGCAAATTTATTTCCTTTTCCTTTTCAGCTCACCAGTCAATTTCTGTGAAGGTAAGGTTTTCATTGGTCCAAAGAAAATTTCACATAGGCTTGTGAATTCCTTTCAGTCTTTTTCCTTATTCCTCTAATTTAACAGGAGTGGGTAAAGGAAGTTATTATTATTTTGCACTCACTACAGTGTACCTTCTGATGAGGCAAATAACAGATCAGGATATGTAAGTCATCTTAAAAAGATTTTTAAAACAGTCTTCAAAAAATAGAAAAAAAAACTTTGAAAAGGAAATACAAAGCATAAAATAAAGCAAAAAAGCTCTTTAAAAAAAGGTGCACCCACCTAATCAAAAGATGAAAAATCATAGAAGGAAGGGAACTAGCAAAAGTCCACTGGTGCCATGGGGACTTTTAATAATATATCTTTTTTTAGAACACTGTTCTATTCACAGGTTTCAGTTCCTTTTTCCCTATGCTTTTCTGTAATAAATAGCTCAACTCATTTACAGATGACAGCCAAAAATTGCTTTCCATTCTGGATTTTTATCATTTTGCATTCAGGATGAAATTTTCATGATACTTTATCTTCTGAGTTGGTCAAAAAAATCTGGCTATGTCTTCCTTGATAATTTCTCTGCCTTCTAGTCAAAAAAGTTTATTACCTTCTTTGAAAATTTGATTACTATCTGAAATAAATTATACACTGACCCTTCTTATATAAGAATTGACGGGCTCCAAATGGACTTTAACTTTAAATCTACATGGACATAAGTTAGTTTCATTGGATAACAAATTGAAAGAGTATATATTTTTTTAAATTTTAAAAATGAATTTGAGACAATTCACTTTGACCAAAATATTTTTGGCAGTTCTTTCAGAGCCAGTTCTAAAAGTAAATACTTTTACAGACAAATGTAACAATTTTTCATAAACCGCTTGGCTTTCTGTTAAATACACTTCTCTAAAAATAAGTGTAAAGCAAACCCAAACAATTATATTTATTTATTTGCACTTTTTTATTAATTCTTATTTTGTATTAATAATAAAAAATTTTATAACAGAAATGTACTTCTACAGAAGGATGATGAGAATATCATTGAACAGGTGAGCAACGACCAAATTTTAGAGAAAATGGAAGCAAAAATGACACTTCTTACGGTCTCTTACCATTTGAAAATTCTAGGGCACATAATGAGAGGTCCTAGAGAATTTGACACTCACAGGGCAAGAGGGACAGAGGAAAGCAGTGAATAACCTACCTAATGAGCATATGTAAATAGTTGGCAGAATAAGTGATTAGAAGAGATAGCAAAAAGATAAACAGAAAATTAAAAAGAGTTAAAAGTACAAGAAATCGCCCACGTCCTGAAGGGACATGACACAGAAGAATTTTATTCCTTTTAAAATCAAGTATGTTTCTAAAAAGATAAATGATTTTTGAACGAGTGTTGATTATAATTTTAAACCTAAGTCATGTATTTTCCTTTCATTGTTAAAGTGAAAGTCTATTATTCTATAACGACAAATTATATTTTTATTTAAATAGTACGTATATAATACAACGCAAGAGCAGACAAACCATTACAGACTGAGCAAGAAATTCCTAAAGGATCGTCTCTTAAAAGATCCTGACTCTGAAATAAATTAAAATCTGATTTATCTTGTTGAACAAACAAACGGAAAAAAAAAAAGTTTATAATGTTTTACTTACACGTAAAATATTTGTGAATTTCTCTTATTACTTTTTCAATTATCCTTTTTGAATAAACTTACGACAAAAAAAGGCATGACGCCTGCCTGACGTTTTTAAAATAAAAAGAAAATAGTTATTATTGATTCTGTTATTTAAAAAAATTAATAAATGAATAAATCAGATAATTTTATTTAAAAAACAAATTACTTTAAAAAAAAAAAAATCGTAAGCTTTGTTAAATACGAAACTTAAAAAAAAATGCTAACACCGGATTTAGTATTTTTGCACATGCGTGCTTCTATCTTCCTTTCTGATATCCCCGTTGTGCTGAGGGTAAGTGTATATTCTCTCTCTGCTGAATATATCCATAATCATCTTGGAAATTTTTATAATTTTTCATCCCGAATGTTTATTATTTAAAATTAGATTGCCTCATTGTATAATTTCAAGATATTATTTAATTTCTATGTTGTTTGTAAAAGAAATATTAAAGAAAATCATGTGTCTGTTCTTAAAAACATGGTGTATTTTGCCCACGTTGGCTATCACTGATGTGTAGATATTCAAAAGATATAATTTTATTGGATGCATTAATTTAATTTGTATATTTATTGTTTATTTTATGTATTTTGTTTTGATGCACTTAGGTTTTTTTTAACTAATTTAGACATTTCGTTTTTTCTTGTGAGTCTATACTAATTGCTTTCATCTACCTTCAGAATTTAACATTTTGTATTACTGATTATAAATCTTGTTTAAAAAAAAACACTCTAAATATATGATTAAATCCTTAAACTCTTGGTGTTTGATCAGTAAATATTAAACGTAAACTGGATGAAAGGTTCTGATGACCTCTTAATGTTGAATAATATTCCTTGTGCAGTAATTTAGACCTGTTTTAAAAGAAAACCATCTCTCTACTACACCTTGCCGAAAAACTAACAAAATTGGTAAAAATAATTATTGCTCATTTTAAGAGCACGTGTAACTGGTCGACATTAAATCATAAATTTAATTTATTAGTCGATTACTGTTTTTGCTGACATTGTCTCTGACTTCGACTGTTTTATTTTTTCAGTAGAGAATTCCCGTTTTAATTGAGTTTTAATTAAAAAAAAAAAAAAAAAACCTCAATTTTTTTTTTTTAAGCAATAAGTTTACTTTATTTAACAACGATTGTTCTAAATTTCTACATACGCTACCAGTTTCGTTTCGAGCTTAGAGTATTTAATTTATCGATATTGTATGCACCGGCTTGATAACTGAAGAATAGTGTGACTTAAGATTGTAAGTTTGATATAATTTTTAACATTAAATTCTTTTCAAAAGATTTTTATTATTTTATTTGCTTGCATTCACGCTGAATAAAATTGAGAAGGTAATTGTGTAATATGTCGGTTTGCATAGATGATCCCCTTAACTTCTTCAATCAGATTTTGTAATCTCTATCCAGACAAGAATTACATGTCAAAATTCGTTTATAGTTTGTCGTATAGGAAATCTGATTTATTTGCTTTGATCCTAATCTAAAAATATTGCATTCTAGTTAGCGCTCTAACCTTTTTTCGCGTGGCCAACACTGATTATCTCCCTTATAAGTTATATATATATCTTTTAACGAACCTCATATTCTAAGCTTAAATGGTATTATTTTCTCACTTAAAAAAAAAAAAAAAAAATTATTGGCTTGCTGAACTCAGAATTGGAAAAGTTTTTTTTATGACATCGTCGATTGCTGTATAATAATTTAATGAAAAAATCTTTTCTTTTTCAGAATAAGAATGGGACGAGTTATTAGGTCCCAGCGTAAAGGTGCCGGAAGCGTTTTCCGTGCTCATACCAAACACAGGAAAGGAGCTGCCAAGCTTCGTGCTATTGATTTTGCCGAGCGTCATGGTTATATCAAGGGTGTTGTCAGGGTTAGTAAAAGTGTTACTTAAACCTCAAATGATCAAATTAAAAGCGATTAATATGCGTATTTCATTTGACCTGTCATCCAGCTATAAACAATGAAAAAGTCGTGCAACGGCACTATAATAAACTGGTCCACTAAAAACAAACAAAAAAAAACTATAGTTTTTATTGATTAACATTCCTTAGACTTTCCTTTGTCAGAATCGACAAGTATTGATTTATTATCGATTTAGAAGTGGAGGGGTCCTGTTCATAATTTCCATATGTCAAATCAATTTCTGGCTTTATAGTTGATTGGCCTTCTCTCGCTCTTCTTAACTGTTATTTACAAATGTCAAGTTTGAAACTGCTGGCATCATTGATATCTGCATATAAGAACTTGGGACTACAAAAAAGATTTCTCTTAAATAACGGATAGACGAACATATACATTTTCATGTAAAAATCAAATTAAAGTAAAATTTATATCTCTAAATGCTTATGAACCTTAAATGATGTGCTTATCCCTCCCTCCAAAATCCCAGACAAGAAAAAATAGAAATTTAAAAAAAAAAATGCAGATATCAATTTATCAATTATTTGTAAATAACAGCTAAGTGACTTAGTAAAATTCAGGAATCAATTTGACACTTCATTGATATTATAAACATTACCCTCTTATAAATCAATATATTTTGATTCTGACATCTATAGCAACTTAAGAAAGGTCTAAAAGAACACTTATCTACAAAAATTATTTCCCCTAAAGGATTTTTCTGGGTGTTCCTGTCTTTAAGTGGTGCCTGTGCAACATTTCAAAATTTATTTCAGGGGAAATAGGCACTGAAACCAGAAATATTTTTCTGTATTACTAGATTAAGCATTCTAGATCCTGAATAAAAATAAAATAAATTTTGCAAAAGTTAAGTACGCTTTGCTTTGTGAATTGACCCCTCCCCCCTTATGGAAGCCAAAAGAAAATATGCTAATACCATGTGATTTCTTAGAACATAAAAAGATTTTTTTTTTTTTTTACATTTTAAGAAATCACTTAAGAGCATATTTTGTTTTGGTCTCTGGGGTAATGGTCAATTTATTATAGCAATCTGAAGCTTTACTTATTAACTAACATAAAAATCCAATAAAAAAGAAATTATTTCTGGTTACAATGCTACTATATTGTACAACTCCACCATTACACCTCATTAAAAAAAATTTAAGAGTTGTCATATCAGTTCTATTGCAATCCAATCTATAAATACAAAATAAATCTATAAATTAAAACTTTTTAGTGCATACTATATCAAATGATAATTAGAAGATTGTAAAATAAAGTTTTGGGATAAAGAAGTGAATGCATCTTGTATGTGTGAGGGAACAATGCTGTAAACTGAAATTTGTTGCTAATTGTTTTTCAAAAACTCATAAAATCATTGTTAATTAAATTGACATGCTGTTCTCATTCTTGATCAGAATTGAGAAATGACCTTAACTCAAAATAAGAATTCATCTATAATTATGTTTAAAATTTTTCTGTATGCAAAGAGCATATTAGGCTGGTTTTAATTTAAATAATCTATTTTGTTAATGTTTCAAATAACTTGACAATGATGAGCCAAAATTTCTTCACTTTGACCTGAATTATTGTGTGGAAGAAATAATCTCTGAGTTCTAACAATGTCTGCATTTAATATTTTCATTTGTGAGTAAGAAATTGAAATCTTTATCTGCTGACAGGCTAATTTTGGTTCTTGAGATTTAATACTGGTGGGAATTATGAAATGTTTTGATTTTAATCACATTGTACTTTTGAAACAAAACATTTTGACAGCTTAAAAGTTAATTCAATGAAAGAATAAGTTATGATTTCAGAATCTCAAAGTTGATCTTTTGTGACTGATTTTTGCATTTTATTCTGTTTGCATGAGATTTCTTTAACTGTGTAACTTAGTGAAGTGGCTTTAATAAAACTTTTCTTTTTGTTATGGTTAAGCATTAACTTGCTCAAATGAGATTTAATGAGCATTATCTATTTGAGGTCATCTTGACCTGTTTCTATCTCCATATAATCTGCCTTGATGACTTTAGTAAGGGAGGAGAGGGAGAAACAAATAGGAAAATATTTCTGTGGATGATAATCAAAATTGAAAAAATTTGCATATTTTATAAAACCATTATTTTGGTAGAAAAGATTTTGTGTAATTTTTCCAGAGGAAAAAAGTTCTGATTATTTCTGAACTTGGAATGGTCTGATAATTAACATTTTCTATTGTCATGTGTTTCTGGAAAGAATTGCATTTACTATGATGAGCCTAAATTTCTTCACTTTGACCTGAAATATTGTGTTGACAAAATATGCTCTGAGTCCTGGATATAACAATCAGTCTACTTAATAGCTAATCAATTCTACTCTTGGTCCCTTTTTGGAGATGCAGAAAATCTTTATTTTTGACACATTGTTCATTCTCCAGAAGACATGTACTAGATGGACATTTGTAACCTTTTTATTAAAACTTTTTTTTATGATTTCAGGATATCATCCATGACCCTGGTCGTGGAGCTCCTCTGGCTCGAGTGAGCTTCAGAGATCCTTATCGCTACAAGCGTAAGACTGAAACTTTTGTATGTGCCGAAGGCTTGTACACAGGCCAGTTCCTATATTGTGGCAAGAAAGGTATGTTGTTGTTGTTTTTTTTTTTTTTTTTTTTTTTTTTTAACATCTTAAAATGTCTATATTTCTGAGATGAAGTATTGTAACTATTTACATTGTTTGGACAGTTGTCCACCATCTTTATTACCATATCCCCAAAGACACACAGCCCAGTGGATAAAAGCATTAGTTGAGTAATCCAAAAAGTGACTTTGCCTAAAGAGTTGTGGGTTTAATACCTGGCCATAGTAGAGGGAACAGAAACTTAGTTGCTAAAGGGTATTAACTGATACTGATATATCCAGAAAGGGCATGGAATTAGAACAATCTACCCTTGTGGTTTAGATAAAGGGTTTGGTTTGAAATCCCAAAATATAACGCCTGAAGTTTGAAGGGTACAACAGCCAAAACATGAATGTGACAATAAAGATGACAACTGTCTGAACGGTGTAAATAATTAAAACTCTAGTTACTTGCTTTGGGTAGTAAATTTTGAAATTGAACTTTTTGCTTTCTCTTTCGCATCAGTTTCTTTTTAACTATTTTACAAATTTTTAAGAAGCAGTTTTTCATAAATTCATTTAATTGACTGAGTTTAGATTTATTATTATTATTATTATTATTTTAGCTACACTCCAGGTTGGCAACATCCTTCCCTTGGGTGCTATGCCTGAAGGTACCATTATCTGCAGTGTTGAGGAAAAAACTGGTGATCGTGGTAAGCTGGCTCGTGCATCAGGCAATTATGCCACTGTTATTTCTCACAATCTAGAGACAAGAAAGACCAGAATCAAGCTGCCCTCTGGTGCCAAGAAGATTGTTTCTTCAAGCAATCGTGCCATGATTGGTAAGTGGTGATTTTTTTTTTTTTTAATGTATTTAATTGTTGCTACTTGCTTTCCTTTTTAATTAAGGTTTTAACCTTTGGTTAATATTTATGGAATGTGGTCAATTTGATAGTCTGGCAGGATTGTTCTTGGAGATTTGATTTTGGTTGATTTATATTATATGTTAACTTATTAAGATTTTTTTTTAATGGAGTACCCAGTGAATATTAAACTCTACTCAGTTGCAATAGACCTTCAGAATAGCTTTGCTAACTAAATCCCCATACCAAATTACCTTTAAAAAAAAAATTACAGAATGTTTGAGTTATGTAGAAATTGAAGATTCTGTTCAGGAACCAGGATTTTCTGAAACAGATTAAATATAAGTTTAATTTGTAATCCTTTTAATGTTAGGATTACATGTTGTTATTTTTTCACCAAACTTGGATAGCATCACCATCTCTTATGAAATATATTTAATATTTTTTGTTAAAAACCAAACAAACTTGCTAATTTTTTTTTTTTTTTTTTTTTTCCTTCAAGGTATCATTGCTGGTGGTGGGCGTATGGATAAACCTCTGTTGAAGGCTGGACGTGCTTACTACAAATACAAAGCAAAGAAGAACTGTTGGCCCAAAGTTAGAGGTGTGGCTATGAATGTAAGTATTTATTTCCCATTTTTAAGTTGGTCAAAAAAAATAATTGAAATCCTAATTAGATATGACTATCAGATAGTTTTTATTTTATTTTTATTCTTTTTTTATTGAATTTTCTGATGAATTCCATTCTTTTACTCCAGCCTGTAGAGCATCCTCATGGTGGTGGTAACCATCAGCATATTGGTAAAGCCTCTACAGTTAGAAGGGACACATCAGCTGGTAGAAAGGTTGGTCTTATTGCTGCTCGTCGTACTGGTCGTCTCAGAGGCTCCAAACAAACAACTGGCAAAGCTGAAAAGGAATAAATACCTGAACCCTAATGTACAGATAATAATAAATACCAGGAAAGACGTTGTTGTTTTTTACTTTTTCTTTTCTTCTGTATCATGTTTAAGTCATTCTTTCTAACAATGCAATATTCATGTTGCTATTTTACTGATATTTCTACTTAATCAGATGGATTTTTTTCTTGTTTTGGGAAGAAGTTTAAAAATTTAAAGAAATATAATGACATTAGGAAAATTAAATTCAAAGCTTTAAAGTTGGTGCTTCCAACTTTAAACTTCATAAAAATCTCATTACTATTATACTTTGTAGTGCTTATTATTGTAAACTTTATTAAAATCAAAAAGAGCTTAAATAGGAATTTAAATAAGTAGATGTGCATTGTTGTGTATTCAATACTTAACAGGTTATGAATTATCAAACGATATAATTACCAATGTATATTTGTTGTCTCATTTGTTATGGGAAGGGAGGTGAATCAACTTAAGCTAGTAAATTTATGACTGATAATTTCCCTTCATTATTTTAATAATCTATAAAAGTAAAATATTTATCTGCATTTAAATAAAATTACTTTCTGAGCAAAATGAACTGCTTAATTAATCAGTTCTTTTGTTTCTTAGATTGCAATTTTACTTGTTCAAGCCTTTCATGTGAGGTACTCTGATTCCTTTGTCTATTAATCATCTTGCTTCAACTTAGTCTTTAAATAGTTTTTATCATTCTGTTGCTAATCTGGGTGATATTATTTCCATTTCAGTGTTATATTAAAGAAATAAAATTAACATTAATTTTACCAGAAGTAATTGGTGAATCTTAGATACCATTGAACATCTATAAAATAAGGGAACGGATTAATTAAACAGTTCATTGGTCTCTATTTTAGTTATGAATTTTTCATTGCTGCTTTATTGAATCTATAGTGTTTCAAGCTACAAACCATAGGCATTCCTTCAAACCAGGTAAAAAGAATTACTAAAAATAAGGGTTTTAGTGTTGATAAATTTACTCTAAAAATGTTTTAATCATAAATCGGGTTGATCAATATTTTGTGGGTGACAACAAGCAATATCTATTAAAGTGTTGTTTGTTTTGTTTTTCTTCATTTCACTCTAAGCAAGGTGCTATAGCCACTAAAATGCAAGTGGTTACTGGGTGTGTTAGAATCTAAAGAAATCAATAGAGGATAAAAACAGGAATTAAGACATGACAATTGACATTACAGGAAAGCAATAAACCAGAAGGAGAAGAAATCTCTGCATTTCAACTGTAAAATGAGATCTTATTACTAAATCTAGTAGTATGCTTAAATTCATAAACTCTTGGAACAATTAGCATAAAAATATTTAAAGAAAAAGCACATGGAAGCCATGTTCTGGTGGTGAGGAAAATGCCTAAAGCTGAGATGCCAGACCATGACTGATAACATTGCAAATTCTTTGTATTTTGTCAAGAATTTCTAAGCACGAGACCAAATGTCGTGGTAATAGTCAATACATAGATTTATGAAAATATGAGATCTATTGAAAATTTTCTAGCATGACAATTTTCCCAGCAACTGATTCATAATTGTTCCACTTGTCAGTGGAATGTGGTAGCCCAAGAGGGTGCAATAAGTCAATCTGAAGATTATCAAACATGCTAATGGAAGGCATAAAAAAAGATTCTCTAAGACAAAAGTTCTGTTTTGGAGACATTAAAATTAACAGGCCATTTCTTGGTCCAGTTAAAAGATTGTAGGACATGTTTAGCAATCAGCTGCTAATTTGACCTTATCAAACTTAACCCTTTTAAGACAAGAGTAAATAGTTACCAAGTTGAGAAGTGAATACAAGAAGATTGTTGACTAAAATATTTCATTAATGTAAAAGAGTGGCTGTTCAAGAAAATTTGATTTGACTGAATCAAATCAAAAATTGATCCAGAAATATAACCTTTCAACTTGTGAAGAGGACCAGCATGTCATTCAAGATATCTAAAGTAACAGCGTCACCTTCATTCTAATCTAAAGCTTGATGGACTCTTTCAGCAGTAACTTAGTACATGGATGGTTGACCTAAAGAAGTGAAAGCTGCTTTTTTTTGTCTAAGTTCCTGTGAGATGAGATGCTTAACCAAATCATTGGAGTCTCTTGGTCTTTGCCAAAAAGAAGTAGAAGACTTATAGGTCAATAGTTAGGATCAGACAGAAACTAAAGTATATAAATAGATACTTCAATCTTCTGGCCATTAAGCTTTGATATTTAAAACAGTAAATGAAAACATAATGTGATATATATATATATATGTGTGTGTGAAATGTTAATCTTGTAGTCTGTGACTTAAATACTAACAGTATTAACACTTGTGAGAGGGTATGTGGGGTGTTGTTGCTGACAAGTAGTAGTCATTATAATGTACTTTATTGCCAAACACTGGAAAAGAAAATACTAGTAGTATACAAATTTATTACTTTTATGTACATTTGCCATAGGTTAATGGTTCATTGCAGGTCAGTCAGTACTGAGAAGTGGTGATAACATTGATTTGATCACTATGAAAGATCTTGTAAAGCTTTATATAGCGGCCATATTTTTTATTGCAATATTATTTTTTTAAAAAAGCTTTGAACAAAGATTTGTAACTTGAATGAGAGGTTTTCTATATAGTATTATTTTGTAGGTTTTCTTTTTTTTTAAATTAGGCTCTGTGTTAATGGTAGCAGGAGCAAGGTCATTTTAGGAGTTGGGTGGCAAATGTGTGCATCTGGGATGGCCAAATATTACTCAGTCCCTGCAACTGATGATTGCACTGGTATTACTACTCCCACTTCCTCTTTAGATCAATGAGAGAGGTGTTGCTGCAGGTAGCTGTGTCCTCGGATTGGTCATCTCTCAATATTTATTTTTTAGTTATGCTCTTCCCTGAAGACAGACAATTTAAATCTCTGGGAGAATCAAAATGCAATTCTTAAGATTGCAAAATCTAGTAATAAATCTTAACTATAAAGCAGTGGTCTCAAATATGTGGACTGTGTAAGATTGCATTCCTTACTGATCTGATTGGCCATCTTAACATTCTAAACTTAAAGCTCAAGGATCCAAAGCAGGTAATAGCAATATACAATAATGTGAAGGCTTTCAAATATAAACTTCTGTTGTGGGCAAAGCAGCTTGCAGGTGGAAACTTCATTGAAGAAGATCAACTCACAGTGCTTGAATGAATGTGCAGATTTAATTTTAAAACTTCATACTGAGTTAACCAATATGAGACTTTAGCCTTATAAAGGGAATTTATAATTTTTTGCTACTTCAGTGACCATGGACGTTGATATTGTTTCAGAAAAAATTCAAATGGTTAATTTTCCTGAATTTTACCAGTTCCTTCCAAGTGAAGAATTTCTCAAATTTTTTTCTTCATCTTTGCAAATTATGGTCATGTTTGGAAGTATGTATGTTTGTGAACAGTTTGTTTCAACAATGAAAAATGTGCTCAAAACTAACAGATGAACATTTTCATTCTGCATTGACACTAGCTAATTTATAGGATTTGAAACCAAACAATTTCTGGTTGCAAAAAAAATGCTTTCCAACAAATTGTTTGGGGTAAAATTTACCTTTTGTATTTTTTTACAACTAGGGTTTTGTGTGTTTACCATTTCATGTCATTTACTGATCTGGTGAGTGTTGTGAATTTTGTCCGACATATACGACACAAACCCAAATTGCATTCACTCATACAAAGAGTAAATGATGCAAAATAATCAATCCACAAAATCCTAGTGTTAACAGCAGACGACCAAAAAGGTAGATTTTGCTCTGTTTGGGAACAAATGACAGAAATTAGATCTATAACAGTATTTATTAGCCTGAACATTATTGCTCACATTTTGTATTCAGCTTATTATCATACACACATTGATTTTTATTAATGAATAGCAGCCTATCACAGCTATTCAATATTAAAGCCTTTACTCACTTTACTTTTTAACCAGGTTATCACTAAGGTGGTTGACACACAACCCACCATCTGTGAATGTGATATGAACTAATTTTAATTCACTTCTACCAGTAGATATCTGGAGTTAATGTCCTCCTCGTTGGTAATACCCAAGTAACACGACTGCTGCAGTCCTTCCTCAGCATGTGATGGCCCTTTTGCATCCCTTGAGTTTGAGAGCCCTATGGACAAAGATGCATCCCAAAAGCTAAGCAGAGTATTAAGAGACAAAAATTTCACTGGAACAAAGAGAGTACTGAATTGTTACCTGATATCTGTATGGCAGCAAATGCTGAACAATCTCCTCAAAGAAGAGGAAGAGACTTGAGGCAACAAAAATGTGGTTCTACAGAAAGATGCTGAGGATACCATGTGCCAAACATGTGAGCAATGAGATTTTGTTTAACATCAGAAAGAGGCAGCTAAAATTTCTGGGGCACATAATGAGGAAGGAGGGCTTGGAAAATCTGATACTCGTGGGACAGATTGATGGACGGGGGAAAGCAGCACATAACACTTGATGGGCTTGAGCAAATGGATGGCAGAACAGGGTTTGAGAGAAATAATAAAAAGACAAAATTTATTAAGAGATAGGAAGATGTGGAGGGCCATGATCGCCTATGACCAGAAGGGATACGGTACATAAAAGAAGACAAAAATGACATTTTTATATTTAAATGCAAAAGGTTTGAGAAAACAAAATAACCTCCCCTTGTACAGGGAATTTGACTTGATTTGATTTTCTTTCATGATGGTAATGATCAAGGTTTGGGTGCATAACATGAAAAAGACGATATTGTCATTAAATTTATTAAAATATTTTAGATGTGGCCCCCAAGTAGTAAGTGTGAAAAATAAAAAATCTATTTGGAGATTTTTTTTTTTTTTTAATCTTTACAGTTCTTGACATTTTATTTATCTGGATCAGTTGTTTCATTGACATTGTAGCTATATTCAAAATTTAATGATTAAAATAATGTACACTATTTACATTTGGAGTATTGTCTTCATCTTTGTTGTTGTTATCACAATGTTTCAGCTAT